GGGAATTTACAAGTTCTTCATAAACGACCACATTATTCCACCAAAATTTACTATTAATTAGGGCACAGCCCTAAATTTGTTAACTCTGGGGATAAAATTAAACGTTTTAAGTCGGAATATTGGTTCAAGTGCTGTGCACCTGCATCAGGGATACGCGTAACGTCCCAAAATATTTAAACTATTAGGTTGTTACGCCTTGGGGAGTAGGAACTGTGGTAAGATCGATGGTAAAAAGAAAAGTGACAACAAATGAGCATTTTCAAAGAATTTGGCAATTTCTGAGGATATTTTTCTCAGGCTTTTCTCCATTTTAAAAGGACAATGATCAGAAATATCCGCCGAAACTGGGGCCAAATAGGTATATATATATAGAATTGATTCAACAGAAAACTTATGGAATTGTTTGAAAATGCCACTGTTCAATTGCGAAAACATGCCCAGTCGCATGCAAGACCTTGGGCATTACGTTAAGGAAAACCGGTGCGCGTTCTCAACAGATTTCGTCTAAAACCTGTGCGAAAGTATCCCAAGATGACCATAAAAGCTAAAACATTCAAATTGGTTATGGCCAATTTATTAAAAGTCAAGCAAATGGTAAAATTTTCTGTGGGGTGCAAAACTGGGACAATCTAGTTGCTACGTTTTTTTTTGCAATTTTCTTCTTTATCTGCTTGTATTAATTATTGTTTTTATGGCCTTCTGATGAAATAAACATTGGAAATGTGAATTCCGAAACTAGATTACAAAAAAGTCTTCATATATTGCGATTATATCGCAAGAAAATTCACATTATGTATTACTGTTCCGGTTTTGCTCCTCAGTGTATGTAATTTTGGATTTCCTTAATTTTTGAATTTCAGCTTTTTGCATAATTTCGCGAAAACAATTTTTCGAACAATGAAAAAATCTCACCAAACATTGGGAAAAAGCGAGTATTTACACCTAAGTCATTTTATAGTATAACCTTTGTTTTATGAGAAAGGAAAGCATGAAATAAAAATTTACCAAAATTCCATCCCATTTAATGACTGGGCTCACATTTTTTGTGAGTTTTGGACGTTATAGTGATCCAATCTTTCCCATATTTTATATTTAGGTTTTTCTAATAAAAATAAAGACTGCAAACGACTCGAAATCGGATGAAATTTAATGTTTCCGCTCACAAGAGTAGAGGGCGTGGCAATTATTCCATCTTTACAAAATTTCATAATTCTCTATTTCTAAGTAAAACTAGAGCACATGTCAAGTTTCAGTGAAATCGGTGCAGGTGTATTATTATTTCCACCTGCCTCCATATAGTCGAAACACTGTGCGTCGCTTCGTAGTTGGTCTTTTTGTTCGTACCATTATTGTAAGGAATGCACGGACGTTTTCTTTGTCCCTTGGCATTTTATTTAACAATTAAGTGACCAGAATTTTTTAACATTCCAGGAAGACAAATTCTCCACACTGAAACACATAAAAAAATTTATATTTATTTAAACACATAAATAACGAATAAATTAACAATTCAAAGTTCCTCTAAACACAAGTCAAAAAAGTTAATAGTACACTGCGTTGCATAATTATAAGAACGCCACCTATTAACAAGTTTTGCCTATTTTTAAATTATTTAATTGAAATTGTATTACTTGCAACAGAAATTGCTTTTGTATTTCGTCAAAGTTGGACTATAATTTTGTATCAACGCTATAACCCGTTCAGCAATATCATTAACATATCTTAATCGTCTTTAAGACAACCAACTTCAGTGTCATTTTTTAGAGAATTTAATGCCCTACAAGAATATGCCTAGAAAAAATATTATCCCTTTTTTATAACTTTTTTTAATGGTTCAAAAGTTATAACATTTTTAGAAAATTTCAAATGCCTACCGACACCTTTTAAAATTGAAATAAAAACTTTTCCAAATGGGACAATTTCCTTCTCAGTAAATATGTCATTTTAGGGCCATAAATTCGCTAGGTTACTTATTTTGGATCATCCTAATATACATGTATATTAGACCACATGAAAATAAAAAAACATCCCGCAATGCGATCGGCATAAGACTCAAATTTTAGCATTTGGTATTGTAATGATCCTCCATGATTGCGGGTTTTATTTTTATCTTGGCGTGGTCTAATGTATATATAAGAGCGACTCTTCTTCTTTTTTATTGGCGCTGTAACCGCCTAAACGATTTTGGCCAAGTCCAAAACAGCACGCCAGTCATTTCTCTTCTGTGCTAATTGACGCCAATTGGAAATGCCAAGTGAAGCCAAGTCCTTCTCCACCTGGTCTTTCCAACGCAGAGGAGGCCTTCCTCTTCCTCTGTGACCAGCATCGCGGCCCGCGTTGAATACATTCAGAGCAGGAGCGTTTCTGTCTATTCGAACGACATGGCTGCACTATGTCTATATCGTTGTAAATCTCATACAGCTCATCGTTAAATCGTCTGCGGTATTCGCCAACGCGTAAAGGTCCGTAAATCTTTCGCAGAATCTTTCTCTCGAAAACTCCAAGAGCTGCTCCATCAGATGTTTTCATTGTCCATGCCTCCGCGCCATACAGGCATGATGAGTGACTTATAGAGTGTGATTTTTGTACAACGAGAGAGGACTTTACTTCTCAATTACCTACTTAGTCCAAAGTAGCACTTGTTAGCAAGAGTGATTCTCCGTTGGATTTCAAGGCTGACATTATTGTTGGTAATGCTGATTCCCAAATAAACTAAGTCGTCTACTTTTTGAAACTTGTAACTGTCAACAGTGACGTGGGTGCCAAGACGCTTATGCTCTTGACTGTTCGTGTGATGACAGGAGATACTTCGCTTTGTCCTCGTTCACCACCAGACCCATTCGCTTTGCTTCTCTATCCAATCCCGAGAAGGCAGAACAGATGCAGCGACTCATTTACAGTAATAAGAATAAGTGGCAAATTTCTCGGAAAACACCCAAAAAAAAGTCGGGATCCGCCGCTGGGCCCGTGTTATTTTTGATTATGTACTTGGATGTGAAATAACACATTTTCTAAAAAATTTTAAACGTATTTGCGCTTCAATGCAACGAACATACTTGTTTGAAGCCATCTTACAAATGCTTTTATCAAAATAAAAGATCCCCACACACAAATATTGCCACTGATAAAACTTATACATATCTATCAAACAAAATTACATATGGTAGGCAATAATTTCGGCATTCCTACGGCACCGTGAAATACTTTGTTCGCTCCTCCAATTACGATCGCGAATTACCCCTTTCCCACGCACAAATTCTTAATTCGATTTGACAGTTCTCTATCCCTGTGTTTTTTTTTTGTTTTCTTCGCTACAAAATTTGTGCAAAATGTAAGTAATTGGTAAAAATTTATAAGTTTCCGTATTAAATTGGTGATGTACACATGTATAAACTTTACTTTTCGTACTCAGAAAAAGTGCCAGTTTCGATAAATGTCTGATAAAAATTAGAGACGGCAGAGATTTGTCGCAATTCGCATAGTAATTGGATCTGAATTACCAACAAATGAGGTAATTTTCTCTCAAGATTTAGTATGGCGAATTACGTAATTCGAAGGATAATTGGAGTGCAACTTACGAATGAGAGAGCGAACTGCGTAATTGGCTAAAAGGCGTTTACATTGTTCAACTTTCACAGGCGGTTAGATGAATCAAAAGTTTACATCACTTAACTGAAAGCTGAACAATGTAAACTTCTTTTAAATATAACGATTGTGTACGATTAGCAAATATTAATATTCTGAACGAAGCTTTTTGAAAATTTCGTCACTGCTATAAAACTTGAAAAGGAGGAGCAGGACATTCTTGCTCAAAAGGAGGACACAGAATGACAATAATTTTGAGGAGGACAAATCACGTTTGAAGAGAACAATCCTCCTAAGTATGGCGCATATTTAAACAAGCTATCATATCCAAAATTAGCGATAATATGCAAAAATATGATTTTTAGGTAAGTGAATATTTTTATCTTCTCTAATCTAATAATAATAATAATAACTCTAGGGCCTTATCCGGATCATCTGCAGATAATTCCCGCTGCCGTCTGTCTATGCTTTAAGTCTGCTATCCAATCCGGATTATGCAATACAATAAATATTGTTTTAGTTTATCTCCACGACTCAACCAACGAATTTGTGAGAAATAATAATATATACACTTCCCACATATTTAAGCTTAGGATGGTAACAAGGGTGCCTCAACAATCCAGGTGAACAATTATGTACGTGACGTTATTTAAAAAAAGTATTTATTGCATCACTTTGATATTTAACGTATTCTTTTGTGGTTTTACGTTTTGTCGGTAGCCGTTGATTGCAAATAGAAAGAGGACGTTATACAGACACGGTGTGGGGTGTTGCATCACCTTTTACGTATGTGTATAATATAATGTAATGTGTAAAAATGAAGAAGTTGTTGTCGGTGTGGCTTATGCCCAAGAAAAAATTACAAAAAAGTCAAAAGCTTCCTGGTGTATGAATGCAATGCACCGCAATTAAATTGAGGTCGCAGGCAAATTTTGTTTTGAGACTGCTTATGAGTACTTATTTCGTTCCCGTAATCGATTTTGCGCCATTAGTTGCGACACTCTAAATTTTACTCCTAGTGTAATGTTAATTTCGAAGGAACTGTAAGGCTAATTACGGGGTCATCAGGATTAGGGTGCGCCGATAACCATGGCTGAAGGTGGGTCAGCACTAGGCGCCAAGTATTTGGCCATTATTTATTTTATTTGCGTAATTTTCAGATTTTTTTTGCGTTTTACTTTCTGTTTCTGTCTGTGTCCGTTCATGCTTATGACGCGGGGAACAGTGGTGAGTGCAAGAACGCAAGTGTACACCAAGTGGCATGCCGCCTGCACTCACTATGCGTTCCGTTGCAACTTTTGACGAAGTTTTCACGCTAAATAAAAATAAATAAATAAATAAATAAAATTAAATCTTTAAATTATAGATAGAATAACAACACTTTTAAAATCCTTACTTTAACTTAATATTTACAGCAATCGCCCTACCACGGTTACGTTGATCGCGAATCGATGGTTTACAATCGCCCGCCTGGATACTGCATGAAGACAGTGTTGTTATTCTTCATCGCTGTTGTGGTCATGCTGATGGGCCTTCTTGGTGGCTACACCCTGTATCGCACATATTTACCTACTGCTTCGAATTTACACTACCATGCACTTTGCGACATTCCATACATGCCGACTGGAAATTTAAGTGTGCCACGTCTGTACGAACAAAACGATGAATTGGACTGGCGTAATCTGTTCTCACATCTTACAAAGTTCAATGGTTACAATGCGTTGGATGATGATTATTTCCGTGAAGAAATCGAGTTGGATATGAGCGATAATGAAAGCTACGCTAAGATTGATGTGCCCGATTTTAAGAATGGACGTCGAGGACGTTTTATGCATGATTTCAAGGAAAATCAGTCGGCGATCATTGATACTACAGCAAACCGTTGTTACATTATGCCACTGGATCGCGGCACAACATTACCACCGAAGAGTTTTGTCGATTTAATGCAAAAGATGGGTTCGGGCTATTACAACATAGATACTGATCGCGTTCGTCGCAACATGCGTGTTGTCACTCCCTCTATTACTGATCTTTCAACGATCTCTGAACGAATCGCTAACGAATGTTATGACATGAAAGTTTATATGCTTGAAAACTACGTGTCCGGAGGTTGGTATAGACTGTATTTACTAAAATCTAGGTATTGTATCGAGTGACCGTTGTGAGTTTAATTTAAAAAAACTTTCACCTGCGGAGAGGTTCTGTAACGATTTAACGGACATTTTTGGATCACTATCGCGACTTGTTGATATTAATACCCGTCGCAAAGCTGCGATAGCGATCCGAAGATTGTCGTTGAAAAAAGTTTATTCAAAATATCAAGGGACTTCTACTTCTTTATACATACGTAAAGAGTACTTGAAAATTGTATTACTCATTTGACTCATAATGTTAATTAATCATAACTAGGACAACCCAAAATATGCTCCTTAAAACTTATTTTAAGCGCTTAAAATGTGCCAACAATTCTATATATATGCTCCACAAAATTCTTTTAAAATCATTATAACCCATAAGATATGCTTTTAAATTTCGTTTATGTACGTATTTTCATGCCCAAAAATACTTTTAACTTTATTTGCAGCACCTAAAATGTTCTAAATTTCATAAAAGTGCATATACATACATAAATATTTTTGTTTAATAATTCATATTTATTCAATTTGTTTTTAAAACATATGTATGAAAGTACATGGAATCTAATTCACAAATTGTTCCACATAGGAATTTAAACTGTGTATGTTTGTAGATACATATCGTCCTTTAAAGTACAAAACCGCGTATCGTCGGTCTGCAAAGCCGGGTACTTGACATTTTTTGCCAAAAATTGGGTTTGCACACACAAGCTCCGCTACGTCGCAAATCTACCATCCATGCTTTCTGCTGTCGCATTTAACATGGAGTTGTCCTAGGAGGTGAGAATTGACTACGTAACGTTCCCCTAGTATTTGTAGTAGTAACACGTAGCCTGTAACCGAACCACGTTTTGTATATCCTGCGTAACCTAGTACTAGTAATAATAAAGACTTGATGAAATCCTTGTTAATCGCTTGCCAAACGAAATTATAATGGCGGGTCAGTGGCGGGACAACCCATCTGTCAAGAGAAAAACATGTAAATATATAGTATTTCTTTCTCACACATAAAAAACTTTATATAAACACGATATGAACGCGCGCTTTGATGTCTATTTCATTTTCGACACAATGTTATTATACTGTTATTTTTTTCAGAAACTTTTATTATTAGTTCTAAACGTAACAACGCAGAGCAAAGTTCCCGAAAATATGCATTTACTGCAAAATATGCTGAAATATGTATTCATTGCAAAATATGCTCTAAGTAATATAACTCAAACTTTATATTTTTTGGAAAAACGTTTAAACATTTCATCAGCGTGTTGCTAACATGCCTGACAAAAAAAAAAAATGCCCGAACATATTTTGGTTTGCTCTAATCATAACATATTTTAGTTTTTGGATACTTGATTACTCGAGTAACTGAACTTTTGAGTAATCATAATTTTAAATTTATCGAATAGTTGAGTTATTTACTTATGTCTACATATCACATACCAAATACAACGGTGCCACTAATCAAAAATTTCCAAAGCGACATTTTTTCCAAGGAATTAAATCGAGTCAAAATAATGTTCCGGTTTCGGTTTTCGTTTCGCTCTTAAAATTTTATTTCTGTTTCGGTTTTGAAATAAAAATATATAAACAAGTTTGACAAAAAACATTATGTATTAAATAAATATGTACCTTCCAAGGTTTGCAAACATTTTTTTGCGACATTAAACATTGTGAATTTTAATTCATATAAAGAAAAAACCTCTGAAGCACTCACACTCACACTTTGCCAATTGCCTATCAGCTTGAAAGCAATTTTTATTCGGTCATAGCTCTGACCGTTTGTTTGCAGAAAATTGAGTGTTTAATAAAATAAGAAAAAAAATAATGATAACCTATACGTGTGAGCAAATTGAAAGCAATTTTACCAACGTGTAAACGCAAACTATTGCTTGTTTTGTGTTACTTGGACGTTACACGATCAAGAAATTGCTTTGAAGTTGCAGCACTTTCACTCTTTTAATAACACACACACTTTTTACTTTAGTTAAGTCAAACAGCTGATCGCATTTCGATGGCTGAGTGGAAGATCGACCTATCTCGTTCGAAAACGCCCTCTCTCAGAAAACTTTTCAAGAACGCCCTACTTCAGAATTTGATTGAAATACACCCTATTTCAGAATTTTATTGAAAAACGCCCCATCTCAAGCGAATCGGCAGCTGAGATAGGGCGTTCTTCAACTAAATTCTGAGATAAGGCGTTTTTCAATCAAACTCTGAAGTAGGGCGTTCTTGAAAAGTTTTCTGAGATAAAGCGTTGTTGAAAAATTTTCTGAGATAGGGCGTTTTCGAACTGGCTGCTAAGATAGGTCGATCTTCCACTCAGCCATCGATTTAAGCTCTACCCAGAATTACTGCGGACGACGGTAAAGCGGTCGGCGGTAAGTGAACAGTTGCCGCAGTGAAATTAAACTGTTTTTCGGTACGTGCGTATATGCATAGTGAAATAAAATAAAGTGTACTATTTAGGTAAACTGACGTCTTCATATTTGAAATCAAAATTTGATTTTGTTGTTCACCCTTATTCTAGAACCCGAATTTTCGTAATTCGTAATTCGTAGCTAAGTTACGAAAAACGAAAAATCGACATGCTGCAACCCTTGCGGAAAAATGTGCAGCATTGCCAGCTATCAGTTGTTTTTCGAAGTGAGCTGTATGAAGGAAAACAAAGTGGAAAGGAATTAAAAAAACACTCATCAAGTGTTTGTTCATAGTAAAATTGGGTCATTTTACATATTTGGAGGAAAATTATGGACTCTGATGCATTTGCAATTATAGCATAGGAGTAAGAGCGCGCTATGGCAATGGATTCACAAAGGTATGCGGAGCTGTCGGGCATAGTAACCATGGAAACATCTATGTCAGCTTCTGGTGGAATTGTTGAGCCACAAGCTATAACTGCTATGCCTGAAGAACTGGTTCTCAATCCAGTTAATGCAATAACGGCTTCTTCCAAGCCATTGAAAATATGAATTTTGTTAGGCCCACAACCTGGTTGCGCTTGCTTCTGCCTTCGGCCGCGCTTAGGGATTTTAAGCCTTACTAATGAGAATTCTCTTTTCCCTGTTGTCGGAGAAGAGGGCGGAAGCCCCCCTTCTACTGTGAAAGGTATACAACATTTATTAGGCATATAACTCCGGCTACGCCATCCACTGTATCTTTGCGCAGAACCCACATATAAATTTACAAAAAAAAGTGCATGGTTCAGACTAGAGATGGGCGCGGGATAGCGGGACCCGCGGGACCCACGGTACTGATTTAAAATTGGCCGGGATGGGCGGTATCGGGAAGATCTGTAAAAATATGGGGGGCGGGACGGGTTGGTCCCGACGGGTTTCCCGACACTCCCGATAAAACCGCAACCCCTGCAAATTCACAAAATTTTCCTTAAAAACGATGTTTGAAATATGCACTTTTAATGTTTTATTGAGAAGAAGAAAAAAAAATTAAAGGAAGATGCCAGATCTTTCCTTATTATTTTTATTATTTAAAATTAATATGAAAGACCTGAACATTTATGTGAACCTTCGCACCTTCGATCGGTTTGCAAACCTCAATTTGTTGTCCGTGTGTAGCCTGCTTTAGAGATAGATATCGGGACCCACGGGACCCGCGGTACAATTCTGAAAAATGTCGGTATGGGCGGGTTCGGGACTTAAAAATCGAATTTCGAGATGGGCGGGGTCGGGATTAAATATTTAGTCCCGTGCCCATCTCTAGTTCAAACCTAATTTATTAATAAACTAGAGGTCGGAAATTTGGAACCTTTGTTTTAAATTAAAGTTTAATCCTATGTTAAAGATTCGGGTGATGCGTGATTAGATACAACAACCCAAAATTCTTGTACAAATAACTAAACCGTACCCAAGTTTCTCGATAAGGGGCAGCAAACATTCTTTTTTTCGTTCATATAAAGCACTGGATAAAAATATACGTATATGCGAAAGGCAAATTTATCACCACTAATATTTCCTGCAAACACACATCGATTTACATCTTTTTGCTTAATTTTTATCTCGCTTCCGACACAGAATTGTTTCCGTACAAAATTAGGCAAAAAAGCTGTCAATTTCTTACTTGTTCGTTTTTAGGCATGCCATTGTTACGAATTTCGAAAGTTCGAAGATACGATTCGGATTGCAGCATAGCATTTCTACGATTCGTAGCAAAATCCGAATACGAAAGTGTTGCAGAATAGGGGTGACTATTTTTTATTTTATTTCTGGTATACGCTTCTTCAATTCTGGTATTAACCCTTGATTTTGTTGTATACCTGTGTCCAATTTCGGTTTATATCCTCATCCTTCCGCACTGAAAACATCAGCACTGCAACGCTATGTGTGCTCCTGCACAAACGGCAATAATTTCTTAGCTTTTTTCCTAAATTTTTTATTCAAATCAAAAAAAAATCATAACTTCTCACTCAAAAGGGTTATCATGAAATGATAATAGGTAATAATAATAATAATAATAGATTGGCACTTACACATATGTTAGTATTTGGCCGAGCTTCTCCTTGTGGCGTGCGTCTTGATGTTGTCACACAAAGCGGAGGGGCCTACAGTTTTACGCCGACTCCGAACGGCGATTGTATTTTTATGAGAAGCTGTTTTTCATGGCAGAATTTCACTCGGAGGTTTGCCCTTGCCTGCCGAGGGACGACCGCTGTTAAGAAAAACCTTTTTTATATTTTTTGCGATGTTTCTTTGACCAGAGCTTGAACCCAGGTGCTGATGAGTGAAAGCGCGCACTGCTTACCACTACACCACAGCGGCCGACAATATAATGATAATAGGTAAATTGTCAAATAAGAGTGCCGAAATAGAATGTCATTGCTATCTGGCACACTTTATATTATTTCACTATGCGTTTATGTAGATTTGCTGGAAATAAAAATGGATGAAAACTTTGCCAAACTTGTGAAAATAATAAAAATTACTACAATCAACACTCAACCAACTTTGTGCCGTCCCCGTT